TGAAACAATATTTATTGGGGCTATATCTTGGGTACTGGGCTAAAAATGCTAATCCTCTGTAAGACGTTACTATTTCCATTGTACAACTGGAGAACAGAAGTCTTGGAGATGTTCAACATTTTTCCCCAAAGCATAATTGACAAGACTAAAATTTGAACCCAGTTCTTTCTGGCACGATTTTCCCTATACCAGCTCATATACATATGAGAAAAGTCCCCAAATAGATTTATTAAGTCTTGCACAGGACTAACCAAGGTATTTAAAACAGGCAGCCATGAATATCAAAAAAAACTTTAGCTCCTTGGAAACACAAAAATCTTCATGTTCAATGATTAATAATTATACCCATTTCCCTGTGTAAGTTATTATAAAATAGGCCCATTGAGAACATTAAGGATTTGGGGGCACTTCCCAATAGAAAAAGACTCATTGTTGTGCAGTATTGAGGAAAGAAGACAGCCTTTAGAGACTGTCTTTATATTGCTTTATATTCTGTTTCACCTCTTATTAGCTATGTAAGTATATGGCATTAATTGTAAGAGTTGAATTCTCATCTAAAAAGCACAGGGTAATATGTTCTTTATTGAGTTATGATGAGGATTACATGAACAAAATATGTTTAATGAATAATCAATATTCAAATATTAGTTCCTTCCTACTGTTAATATATTTAAATTAAATACCTTAGAATTAACAAAAAGAAAATGTGTGCCTATTTGGTAAATACATAATACTAAATTAAAAGTTAAATCTATTATTGGACAAAGATTCTTTCTAGAATATATACACATTAAGCTCAAATATTCTATTGGGGTTGACTTAAAATGTGATATGCCTTGCTTATTAGAGGTCATTTATTATAAGGGCTTTGAAAATCAGTTCTTCAAACACGGATATCTCTTAAGTGTTTTAGTTACTATAAGACATCTATTAAATCTTCAATCTATGATTAGAGCAACTGTTGTATTATCACTGCAACTGCATCTGTGAATTAAGGACAGACAACCATCACCTAAGACAATGTTGAACATAATTACTTTGAAAACTTTGCCATGCCCTTTTCTCTCAGTAAAATGCAATAAGGAAAATGTTTAAATAGAAAATATATACTAACTCCCAGAGAGGCCCGAGTAAAGAACGTGGACAAAAGCACCGACTTGTACTTTGATCTCCCATTTGTCCATTCTTTAGATAAAATACTTGCACCCTTTTGGACTTGGAAATTGTAAACAAGTCTCCATATAAGGAAAAAAGTCACTTAACATGTAAAGTTTGACTGAACACAGCCGGTTCAGGCTTGTGACAAATGCCTGTGTTGTCACAAAGTTCTAACATTTCAACTCTATTCTTGAACTGCTATCTTGTAACACAAAAATGTTCTGATAGCCAAGATTATTCTCAAAGGTGGATCAAGAGGGAAAAAAAAGACATTATGAAAGGGCAAGCAATGTTTAACTAAGGTTATTGTGAGTCTGAAGTAAGTATCATTGGTGGGGAAGTAAACTCAGTGGTTTTCCATTTTAGCCGAAAAGAATCCTAGACTACATTTATTTCTTAATCATAATCAATTTGTTAGACAATTTATATATCTACTTTCCTCTGTTATATATCTCTAAAGTTTTTAATAAATAATAATTTATTTAATAACATTTATAATTTAATAAATTTAATAATTTAATAAATAACAATTATTTAAGTAATTAAGTAATAACTATAAGTAGATCAGTATATGGAGATATAATCTTGGTGAACTCATCAAATGATGTTACGAAAGGTATTTTTTTAAAAAAAACTTCCTTAAGAAGGAAATATGGTAAATCCTAAAGTGTTCACACTGGGTACTTCTGAGGATTCAGGGAGTGGGATCAGAAGAGGAAACTTTTAAAATCTGTGCATTTTAAAAAACAGGAGTGATTATCTTTATAATTCAGGAAAACTCTAAGGTTTTTTTTTTTAAATTATCCTCATCTTATAACCCAACAGTATAAACATACAGAATAAAGGGACTATATGATAAAATTCTCATTGTCATCACATGGCAGGTAATAAATGCATAGATTATTTGATCTTAAGTGATCTCCAATAAAGGATAATTTGAAATTTTTCATCACAAATCTTTGCCCAGTTCTTTCTGTTCTGTTCTCCTGACTGCCATTCTTGTGCTTATACCTTCTCTCTTTTTATACTTACTGGCTTTATTCAAATAGTTTTCTCTTGTTCACAAACCATCCCTTTAGAGAACTAAACAAAAATAGTCAGTCCATAGGTGGCTCATAGGTAGCCCATGGATGTAGTTTGTTTAGCTAGCAAAGTATTTTTACCATTTTCAAATTAGTTGACAGCATGAAAGAAATTGGAAATTTCTCACAATACTCTATATTTCTACTTTTGAAAGATCAAATGATCTGGCAACACAGAGCCCACATTCATGAGTCAAATGGAATCGCACCACCCTTGGCCTACATGCATACTCTTCAGCTGATCAGAGCCCCCAACACAACCTACAGCCTCACCAACAGGGCTTTCAGGCACAGTTGAGCATGCTTCTTGCCTCATGTACACCTTATAGGAAAGTAACCTCTCATGCAAAGAATAGGGAACAATGAAAGGAATATCAAGCAAGTCAGATGTCTTGCCAAGAACAAGGGGCAGGCATATGTCTTTGAAAATGAAGATTACTCTCCTGTGTTTAATATAGCAAACAAAAAAGAGTATGCTGAAAGAACCAAATTAATAACCACGATGAGAAGCCTGCATGGAACAAAAAGAAAATGAAAAAATAAAAATAAAAAAGAATCAAACTGCTTTTAAGAGGGAACTAATATGAGGGATGCTTTTGAAAGTGTCATTGCACACTAAATAATATTTTCCTATTTCTAATTCACTTCTTTCCTTTGTTTTCTAATGGACCTGGTACATATTTGACTCCCTATTTAAAAGTACACCCAGAGGTAGTCCCCCACTCCCAGCACACGAGCCACCTACCCCTGCCCTATTTCTAAGCCCTGGGGCAGTAGATAGCAAAGCCTCTCTGGACCAGCAGTGAGTTTTCTCCACTTCCCTTCTCTTCCTGCTATGAGCAGTAGCCTGCAAAAATTAAAGTAGCCACTATAAAAATACCTATTGCCTTACCAACTCCATGCTCCTTCCTCTTACACAGGGCTTCTCCCTGTAGGCCCATAGTCTGGCAAAATGCTGACATTCAGAGCTGAAACCTTTTCTTGCTAATATGGTTCTATTCATGTTACAAAGTCACAGGCCTTTAGTTTCAGCTGTGAGAACTCAGGACAGACCTCCAAACCCAGCTCAACCCCTGTGGGAGGAAGCAGAGAGCCTGTTCAAGGTCACTGCAAAACCAAGCAGAGGCATCTACAGTCTGAGCGGATGCCATGACCAGATCAGTAGTTAACAGAGATGTGCCAAAAGTTTCCAAACTTCCAATTTTGGGGCGGGGGGGGGGGGCGGGCGGGCAGAGAAATGTCTGTCTTCTCACTGGAGTTATCAGACTCATTGCCTAGGTCCAACCTCTAGTAATACCATTTGACTTAGATTTCAAAACATGCTTCCACATGGCTTCTCTTATTTGATTCAATCAGGGAAGTTGTGTTTATAGTATCATCACTAATTTATATAAAGGGAAATGGAACTTGAGAGCTTAGTGTGACTTATTCAAGGTCAAAGAATGCATGATGGGCCCCATGTTTATTGCACTTTTCTCCAGGCCACCACGAACTAGAGATGAGAATTATGAAACTGTAGCTCTTTATAAAGAAAAACACATTATCCAAAACAGATGTTCTATAACAAAAGCAATAGTAAATGACTGGAGGACACAATTCAGTAAGAAATTAAGACTTATAAATGTTTTTATATAGAAATATTTTACAAAGATTTTACAACATAGTAAATCATGTCATACTGTAGAAAGATGAAGAAAAAGATTAAACCTCAAGAAAAAAGAAAGTGCTCATAGCAACGTATTGCAGTCTCCATAAAAGTGCATAAAAGGTTAAGGCAAAGTACCATGTTGGTACAGGCATGCTGAGAACTGACTTGTAAAACAGTTTTTAAAAATACATACAAACATTTTTTTCCTCTATTCTTTTCAAACATATTTGAAAGGGAAATGCTTATGAACATTCTTGCTTGAGACAATGTAAATAGAACTTCTGGGCATAAAACAGTAAAAGTAAAAATATTCTGAGTGTATAAAAAAGTAAATCAAATAATTTCTAAAATAAAACCTGTCTAAGTGAGGTCCCTCTTTCTACATGTAACTAACCAGGCTGAGGGCTTACTCTCTCATAGATAAGCGATGTCATTCATGATAGCGGCGTGAAATTAGGATCTCACCCTTTCAGCTTCTAGTTTCTATGGCTAACCTACTGACATATGTAAAGTCTTTGTCACTGCATTATAAATCTACTTTGCAGCTATGCTTCTACCTGCAGCTTACATGATAGTCATTTTATGAAAAGCTACCTATGCTTAATACAGTATTTTGCCCTGATAATAAAAAGACAAAGGTGCTCTCCAAAATTAAACCATTAAGCTTATTAGAAAATTCTAGTTAAGTATTAAGTTTTCAGTTTTCCACATACATTAAATCCCTTAAGACCAGAAGGATCAATAAGGATAATACTGGTTATCTTCATACTTGGAAAAGAGCTTGTTTTTAAACTATAACTGAGAAGTAAGATTTAAAAAATGTAATTTGGCCAGACTCAAACACGAGTGAATTTTAGGGAAAACTGATTTATCTGAATTCAAATCCAGAAAATAAATACCTCCCAAAGAATAACTTAATTCACATGATTAACTACTCTTTTTTTGTAAAATTCTATCTACTCATAAGAGGAGTTTTAGTATTATCTCCCCACACTTCAACTAGCTTTTTCTTTTTCAATTTTTCTCCATGTCTAAATGAAAGGGAAATGAAGCAGCCCATTTTTGCTGACTTAGGTTTCTTAAATAGCTCTTAGACTTCAAGGTACAGCTGTGGTAAAACCAGAGAGATACACCCAGGCATTTATTGGAATTCTGCGGTACAAAATAGCACATGTGCTCTATGCACTCTAGTAACAGGGATAGCAATGATAACTGTCTTACACAACAGATGCATTAGCTTGGTTTTCATCTGTAACTTCTTTTTCTTCAGGACCACAAACAAAGAGCTGGTTGCCCAGAGTTTTCTGGGCAAATCGGAAATACATAATGTGGCCCATTGCCACAAAGGAGACTGAAATCAATACGAGCAAGCCAAAAGCTTCAGGATTTGGAGCCAGGATGACCATGATGAAATGCAGAAGATCAAGAAGATAGTTCATGGAGTTCTGTACACCATTTATTATGCCTCTTTCAGATTCAATTACGTTTTCTTGCAGCAACTGTGTCACAGTTAAATCAAAGGACCAAAGACCTATATAACAAAAGATATTTTTAATGAATGAATTAATTTGTAGTAATACAGTTCCGATTTATAAATAAAATTCTGTGAACATGTGCAAAGTACACATTTTAGTTCTACTTTCTTTAAGTTGACTCATATATATAGTATTAATCATAGCCTTGCCTTAAGGAATTTCTTCTCATTAATAAATATTGGTTTATTCATGGCTTCAAGAAATTATTTTTACAGCTATCAGACAAAAATAAATATAATCTTCAAGCTTCTTAATTCTGTTTGTCTGTGATTATTTGTACTACAAAAGTAAAACTCTGAAATAAATGACATAAACCCTATAAGTACCAGTATTTTTACAACTTAAAAGAACCTAAGACATTATCATGGTTAAAGGGCAAGGAAACTTTAAACCATTGTTACATTTACTGCCTGGGTTCCATGGCCCTTACAATAAAGCTGTCTTGCTGGAATATTAATGTCTTTGATAAATTAATGAACTACTTTGTGTCACAAGATAAATATGGCTTCATTTCAAGAATAAATTCAGTTATTCATCAGTACTCTATTAATGATTACTTAAACTATACTCTGTAAAAAGTCTTTACATTATGTTTCCTTCCAGAGTTATAAAATACATTTGTATGGCAAAGTATATAATAAATATTCATCAGGATTATTTTTAATAACTACCCTATCTTAAAAAACAAAACAAAACACTATCTTGGACTGGGGTTGTAGCTCAGTGGTAGAGCACTTGCCTAGCACATGTGAGGTATGGGGTTTAATCCTCAGCACTACATAAAAATAAATAAATAAATATAAATAAAGGTATTGTGTACATCTACAACTAAAATTTAAAAAAAAAACAGAGTATTTTTTATGCTATCCTAAAGAAATATTCTCTAAGTTATAGTTCTTTTGGTAGACTTATAACAATATAAAAATTCTAAATTACTAGAAGATAGTATAATTATTATAGTAATATTTTTTTAAAATTAAATTACATTTAAAGAGTAATTCTTAAGGGTTGTGGGGGTGTAGTTCAGAGAAAAAAATATTTGTTTTAGCATTCAGAAGGTCCTGATCTCCAGTACCACAAAAAAATTAAAATAAAATAAAGAGTAATTCTTAGAGGCTACAAGTAGGATCTGTAGCTCAATGGCATAGCACTTTCCTAACACACACATGGTCCTCGGTTTAATCCTAGCACCAAAAAAAAATATATACATACTCTTTAAGAAAAACATTTTAAGTCCTGGACATGTGTTAAGTATGTATACATACATGCACACATACAAATATAACCTTTTAAACTATAAAATAAAAATTTCATGTTTAAAGACAGTTGATTTTGCTAAAATTAACACCCAGGAAATATTTCACATCTTTGGTGAATCTCTGTACCAACTTTCCAAAAATATACTTTGAATTCATTAACATATACAAAGAAACTTCTTACCGATTCTAGCAGCAATGACGCCTGCAAACAGCAGACTGACAGAGATTATGGGCACAGACCTCCCGCTCATCTCTTGGATAGTATTAGCAGTATCAGACCTGTTTGATGTGTGCATTTCAGTTGTAAAGATGGTTTCAGGTATTTTTGTAGTTGTGGACAATGGCTCTCCTTGTGTGAACCTAGAACGGATATCTTCAAAGGGAGAAACAGACAAATCCAAGGGGCTCCCAGGCATAAACACGGAGATCACACACAAAATCAAACAGGAAAGCTGTGCCAATCCTGAGATCAGGCCAGTCCGAACCAGACCACATTTTCGACGTAGCCAAGTAAAAGCCACGGTTCCCATTATTCCAGTAATAGCTGATGCTCCCATCAAAATACTGAGGATGGAGCCACTCAGCCCCTGAGTGTAGGCGTACCCTGTAGTGATACAATCGAAGCCCAGAACAGTCATATAAAGAAAGGCAAGACCCATGCCAGCCAGAAACACAGGCTGGTTGTAGTAGGAGACCCATCCATCTCGGAAGGTGCGGAAGGGCTCAGCCATCTGGGAGGCACAGGTGGGCTCTCGCTCACATTCAAGCTCACGGATGTTGGGGTCTTTCTCACCCATTAGATGAGTTCCCTCCAGGGGTTTTGGCTCAGTATCTGTTAATAAAAAATATCATAATTTGGGGGGAGGGAATGGGGGTAAAAAAATTATCTTAGCATTTTGTTTCTTCTCTTATTCTCTTCCTGTGTGTTACCTTGATTACTGCATTAAAGTATATATTTTCTTTTACTAATAATCTAAGAATTCCAGCCATGTAACAATTTCCAATTACCATTTTTTTTGTTAAATAAAGTAATATTTATCTCTTTTTTCTTTCTCTCTTTCTTGTAGAAATTATACTCTCACCAAAGTAAATAGCAGGAAAATTCATTGGATAAAATATATTAAAAAAAAAAAACTTTCTGGGAAAATTCAGCATCTTATTTTCTAGGGCCCTGTTTAGATTCCATTTACCTGTAGCCCAACTTCCCCCCTGCCCTTGGGAAATGCCCTTTACATCCTCACTCCCTTCCACTGACCTCACTCCCTTTCACTGCCTTCCACTGACCGTGAACTCCTTCCAAAGGCCATGAACTCCTCTCTTCAATGACTCTAAAGAATTTTTTTTTCTCACTCTCTTCCCATTTCTATGCCTCTTTTTTGCACAGCCACCCCTCAACTTATTATCCCTCTGTGCCTACCACTCACATAAAGAGACAGGGCTAGGGATCCTTCAGTTTCAAACCAGAGTTGTTCCCTGGAACCTTAAAAAAGTCTTATTTTGGCCTCATCTACCTAAGTCATATATTTAACCTCATTCAGGCCTTTACTGGGAATGAAATCTTATACAAGCCAAAATAGTTTTGATTCTTGCCAGCATTTAAAGTCTGAACATGAGAATAAAGGATGGTCATTGTGTTCATCTTACCTTTTTGTAAATTCAGCTGTTTCAATTCAGCTTCCTCTACTTTAAGAGCAGCTTTCACAGCTAGAGCAGGGGTTTTCTGGTAAACCTTCCAGAGCAGAAAGTACTCCACACACATAGATACCAAATTCCACCCAGAAATAAAACCACAGCCGATGACTGGGGAGCCGAATGTCATAATCTGGCCAACAGCCATGGGAGCCAAGATATTGGTCAGCTGGTCAATCCTTCGAATGGTGGCATTCATATCTACAGGAGCAGGTGGAAGAGGCAGGCAAGAGTTCAAACTCATCAATGAAATACTGGCCATTTACATGATATAGTGGTCAAAACCAAGAGCATAGATTTCTAAAATGCAAGTTTCTAAAAGCACTCTGTGAGCAAACTATTTGCTAGGAAAACAGTTGTTTTTTTTTTCCACATTAAAATTGCCTCAAGAAATGTGATCCCCTTGGAATTGTAGAATTAGTCCAACATCAGCTTTTAAAATAAATCTAATAGTGACTATATTCATTTTTTCAACACATATTTATTAAATGCCTGTCATAAGCTAGGCACCACTCTCAATACCATAAAGAAAACTAGTATTATCTTTACTAGTTTTCATGAAGTTTGCCTTCTCATAGGAAAAGAAAAACAATAAATCAATAAGCACATACAAACATGGCACAAGTCAGATGTCCATTAAATACTGTAGTGAGAGGGCAGAAAAAGGTCATTGAGGGAAAAGTATTAAATAAGGCAATATCAGGGAAGGAATTGCTGAAAAAAGACTTAAAGGAAGGAACTGCTGAAAAAAGACTTTAAGGAAGCAAAAGAGTGAGCCATGAGATATCAGGGAAAAGAACATTCCAGACCCAAGCAATTACATGTCCTAGGACAGAAGGAGTAGGCCCAGAGTGTTAGCAGTCTAGGAAAGAGTTCATCAGAGCTGGGGCAGGAGAGATGAGGTCAGAGGGTGAGGGGAGACAGATACAATCATGTACAGACCAATGGAAATTATATGGACTTTGACTTTTCCTTTGAGTCAGAGGCCCTTTGGAAGATTTTAAACATAGAGAGAGACATAATCTGACATAGTTTTAAAGGTTTATTTTGGCGCTGTGTTAGGCAAAGACTATAAAGTGAGAGAGGTGGTAGACAAGAGCAGAGGCAAGGCCCCATGTGGGAGATGATGTAAGGGTAGAGCAAGATGATTAGTAGTGAAAATGTGGGGAAAAGATACAGTGTATGCTCTAAAGGTAGAATCAGGAGAACTTGCTAACAGATTAGATATGCATTGTGAGAGAATGAGAGGAATCAAGGATAACACAGAGTTTTGTTTTTTTCTGAGCTGCCATTGGCTGAGAAACAAGATTTCAGAGGAATAAAACCCAGTGTTTGGTTTTGGGGGTGCTGATTTTGATAGGCCTACTAATATTCAAAAGGCCATATCAAGAGGCAGACAGTTAAATATGTCAGGCTGGAGTCATAGGCAAGAAATATGAGCCATATTTGCAAGTCATCAGTTTGTTCTGACCATGTCTGGGCACACCCATGTGTAGAGAGCAGGAAGGTGAGAAGGAAATAGCAAAGAGGAAAAAAAAAAAAAAAACAAGCAAGCATGGTGTCTTAGAAGCCAATGGTGACAGTGTTGTGAAGTGGAGAGAGAAATTAAGTGCTGCTGATAGGGCAAGGAAGATGAGCACTCAGAGGAAACACTAGATTGGTCACAAGAAAAATATCAGGGACCTCAAACACAGTGGAGCAGGAAGGGCAAGTGCTTGATTACAGTTATGATAAGAGACTAGTGCCAACTCCAGGAGACACCACTTTTATTGTTATATTTTCAATGCATCTCATGCCCTGGAATTACAATGGGAATTACAATGGGAATGCAAGATTCTGACCAAAGAAAGGAATTAGAAACAAGATGCTTTGATAAGTTTGCTGAAAATAGAAAGAAACAAATGGACTGGCAAAGGAGGAAGTGTGGTAAAGACTGGCTTTTAAGAAGAAAATCAGAGCATGTTCAAGTGCTGAAATGATACAGTAGATGAGAAGGGAAGGGATCTGAATCCACTGCCTAAGTGGAAGAGCTGGTCTCAGATAGGGTCACAGATAATCCATCAATGGTAGCAAGAGTGGAGTCACCTACTTGGCTTCAGTTACAGGCAGGAAGAGAGAAATGATAACGGAAGCACGCGGGGGCCGTCTTCTCATTTCTTACATCGCATGGGCAAAATACAAAGCAAGATCATCAGTCAGTGTAAGAAAGGGGGAAAAGGTCGTGAATGTGTGAGGATAAGGGAGAAAATTAGAAATAGTCCTCTAGGAAAATGGGAGAAGGAAGTGACCAGAGAAAATGGTGTGATCGTCTAACAGCATGAAAGGATCGACTTCAATCCTCTGTTTAAGAACTTCAAGTGAGAACACTGAGCAAGGTCATGTGTTTTTCTCCAGTCATGTTCTAGTGTGGAGAGCTGAACTTAACCAGCTTCTTCTAGAATGAAAGGGACAGAAAGAGAGGGGCCAAGAGAATTGAGGGTCTACCCAGGAGGTGATCATACAATCATGAATGACTGACCTCGGAATTTAAACTGGGTGAGAAAGGCAGACAAGACAGAGGTCACGAACAGTGAAAAGAAAGTGGAATTAGTGACTTGTAAGTGACAAGAGGTTGGAGGATTGTTAGGGGTGGGGTAGAGAAAGAGCAAACTACAAAGGTAAGAGTTGGTAATTCAAGATACAGATGCTTAAGATGGAGGTTATAGAAGGGAAGACGACAGGAATGCATTGTCATGTCAAAGTAGAGAACAAGATGAATAAAGAACAGGAGGTTAAGACAATCACCTGCTTTCTCATTCCCTATCTCAGAGAGCAGAGTGAAAATTAACAAGGTAAGTCTTTTACAATCCTTTGGGTCACTGTGGAAAAAGCATCTGTGACTAAGAACATTAACAGAAAATTGCCTTTATTCCTTCTTTAGTTCTTTCTGGTCTTTAATTAGTTTCTGATTAGTCCTATGAGTATATAACGCTTACATGATAACAGGAGAACTTTGGCATACTACACCTTTCACTTGAAAGGCAAAGGCAGCATTCATTAATCTCACTCATGACAGTTTTTGCAGAGGCTTCACTATCTTCCACCTGCCCCCACTAGCAAGTTTCGGATGCATATGCCAGCAGAGAAGTGTGGGCTTGACCCAAATGACTCAATGAGTGAACCCAAAATATCAGTAACTGAAGAAAATATATGGTTGGATCTTAAAGCTCCATTACAGCAACAAGCAAATTATTTTGGTTTAAATTATGTTACTCTTTTCACTACCTCTGTTCCCCATGTTCCAGGAGCATCCCATTATTACTAATCCTATCTTTTACATGATACTTAGGCAATCAATAATGCTTAGGTGTCAGAACATATGTAGTGATAAAAACAGCTTTTGTTTTTCTGAAGCTAAGTAAATTAAATAACAATTTAAATAAAATGAAGACCTAATCATTTCATTGGTAATCGCCTAGAAAAAGAATTCATTTTCTAAATGCACAAACCTATGCTCTTTACAGAATGATATTTATTCTTATACAAACATAAATATGTGTGCTCATTTGGTTCCAATTTAGTTGTTTTGTAGTACAGCTGTGGCACAGAACATGCCATTATAATGAAAATAACTATTTAAATTATAAATTAAATTATTATAAAGGCTATATTACATCTCATAGAAGAATATTTTTAAGAAAGAATTTGCTAAGCAAATAGCTGCTAGCATGATGTCTATCTCATATATGAAATCACATGCATTCACATATAGTATTTATCTGACAGCCATACCTGATCCAAGCTAATCAGCACATGTTCCTTTATGGTTGGTAAGGAAAACCTTAGAAGATATTAATAAAGAGAAATCCACAAGGGAACAGGGAAGAAAATAAGGCAATGGATGGAGTAAAATGTCTGGGAAAAGGAGTGAATTTCAAACAGGTTAGATAGACTGTGTGGCACAAGAGAATGTTTTAATCAAACTCTAAATCGAGTACCTGGTAAGCACCTTAGTTAACAGACATGCGTGTGAAAAACAACACCCCTTCTGTAGCTTTCTAAACTAGATGGTTTCTCCTATTCTTTACCTTTGATGATACAACTTGCACACAGGTAAAGCCTCCCAGCCCAGTGCCGGATCTTTGCCAACAACTTCAAAACTTAGGCTATATTTTCATATACACATAAATTATTCCTGATTGGAGCAGGTGTATCCATGTAGACACAGCCTCACAGGATCAAGCAGCAGCTACAGTCCCCAAAGTACTCCACCTTCTCCCATCTTTGTTCTATTTTTCTTTTACCCACCTCCTTTTTCTCTGTTCTCCTTTAAGTCTGCCTAATAAGAAACTCCTGAAGGCTAGAAAATAGACTGTTTGGCCTAGATTCTTCAACCCTGCAATAGTCATATATATAAAGAGGGACAGATGAGAAATTGCCAGTCATATATTTGTCTTTGTTCTGGAACATCACTTCCTAGTGAGAAAGACCCACATAACTTTGTGAAAATTTTTTTTATTTTGTTTTTCATGTATATGTAGTAGGACGAGTTAAAGATGCTGAGTCACTTTCTCTTTAATAGACTTTAGTTTCTTTAATACAATTTAGAGAGTCAAAATTAGTTAAGAAATTCAGATAGGCAAAAAAAAAATCATTTACAAGGCAACCTTCTCCCAAAATATATTCTAAAAATAAATGGGATTTTAAAAATATCTTGAATTTTATAATATGGAACATATTTTACATGCTTAAAGAACATGTGAAAAAGAGAAAAAATAAAGGGCCTAGCCTTATCTTCTAGGTCAATGTGACAAAAAGAGATGAGGAACTATTCCCTTTTATGAATCATCACAGAAAGAAAAGTCAAGGAGAATTCCCTGCTGTGCAGACTCATTCTTACTATACTCGTCCTAGTGTGCAGGTACCATCTTCTGAAATCACTGTGCTTTTCTATCTAGATTATAATATTGTTACCACAAAGTGATGATTCGAGCAAATTCTTCTTCTAGACCTCCACAGACTCTGTTCTCTTTCAGTCACCACATCCTTTTTTTTTTCCCCTTATTTTTAATCACAAGGTCCCATCAAACAAAGCTGCTTGCTAATCCCGGCACATGAATCTTGCCTTCTGTGTCCTGAAAAAAGCCACTTAAGTCATCAGGAATGGTTTTCTTGTCTGTCAGGATGGTTAGGCAATGTGTTTGTGATACTTATTATCTTAATGACCAGCAGAGTTGATTCAGCTGATCTAACTAGTAGGCAGGTGTACCCTTCCTCCTCTACCATGTGTAATTATCAATTCAATCTGTGTCTGTCTTGTATGGGAGGAAGAAAGAGAATATTAAGTAAGGAAGGCATTCCAAGCCCAGGCAATGTTGTTGTGAGAGGACACACTGCTTTGTGAGTACTCCGTGATCTTTATTTAGCCACTCGTATGTTTCCAATGGAATAGGACTGTCAGGTCTTAAAAAGTGTGTTCTGTCCAATATTGTTTCACTTTTTGACAGCAGCCCCATTACATCCTACATAATGTAATGAAAGTTACAGATTGCAACTTTAAAATAGAAGAAACTAACTTCTAGAGTCTCTCCTATAACTAAGTTGTTTCCGTTTCATGTGGAGAAAAATAATATCCATGATATGATCCTTACTACCAGTGATAACATCCACAGATATGACTGGTAAAAATAACATGTCAAATTCTCATTGTTATATATATTAAATATTGGAAACAGTTCACCAAATTTAAAAAGAAAAAGGAAAAGTTCAAGAAAGATTTTCCATTTACCGGGTTTGCAAAGAATAAAAGAGTAGTTAACTATCCTCTAAATTACCTCCATAACAGATAAATCTAAGCAGTAAGATTTGACAATAAAGTTAAAAGCAACTACACCTTCAATTTATTATCTTAAAACATACACAGAACAATAACAAAAAGGATTCTAGTCTTATTTATTTCCACCGATTTAAAGTGAATCCTAATATACCCATTTGATTAAAAAAGAAAATCAAATTACCTGCTAATTTGCTTCTGTCTTCTCCTGCAACAACAACAATCCAGTCCCTTTGAATTGTGATTGCAGTAGCAGTACTGGCCAAATTTGCAATATTTGCAATAGTTATAATCAGGATGTAGCAGGAAGTCTAAGGAATTACAAGGAAAAATGGAGGTAAAATGTCAGTTTATTACACTAATGCCTACCTCACCCACCATACATGGTAATTTAAAATTTTCTGACAAAATAATACATTTTTGTTTTAGTTTCATTTATAAGAAATTTTACTTTGTGTGCATGAAACAATTAAATACCAGTGGTCAAGTTAAAGAGTACATTGTCCTAATCTATAATCATCTGTAATATGTATAATGTAAAAAATATAATAGTCACATGAACATTATGTGATTTAGCTACTAAGAGAATGGTGACAAAGTTATTAGAAAATGGTAACAGTTTTCCCTCAAACATCTCCACCAAAAAGATGCTGAAAGGGAATTGAAAAGACCTATATTTAATTGTCAGAGTTCTGAAACTTTATAGCTGAATGATAATGGATAATGAACCAAACTTATTTTGTCTTAGTTTTGTCACTGACAAAATGAAGGGAATATACTTGAAGATTTCTAATGTCCTGCCTGGCTTTGAAACTCTATCCTATCAGTCCAAATAAATACAGAAAGTTTCAATAGTGACACCAAGTTCATTGTTATCCACCATATCCCATTCCTCTCACTTTTTTCCATCAAGCTACCATGAAATCATTGTGTGTGAACTTATATAGATGATATCTCCAAATAGAAATCACAATTATTATTGGAGGGACACAAATAGGACTGATTAATATGTTCATATGGATAACATTTCTTATCTAATACAAATAATGTACACAGTAAGATAGAATAAAACTGAGAACTGAATTATATTAAAAACTAATAGGATGTAATTTGAATTCAAACAATACTTAGTACCTATTATGGGCAAAACAACACTAAATCAAAAGGGGACATTACAGTAGACATGGGATGAATATTAAAAAGTCAAATTTGCAACAAAAAAAAGGACACTCCCTGACTTTGAAGCATTTTTTATCTTCATCACTAACAGATATCTAATACTCAAGAATCAAGATATCTAATACTCAAGACATCAAGAATCTCATTGAGCCAGGTGTGGTGACACACGTCTATAATCCCAGAGGTTTGGGAGGCTAAGACAGGAAGATTGTGAGTACTAAGCCAGCCTCAGCAAAAGCAAGGCAGTAAGCAGCTCAGTGAGACCCTGTCTCTAAATAAAACAGAAAATAGGGCTAGGGATGTGGCTCCATGGTCAAATGCCCCCGAGTTCAATCCCCAGTACCAAAAAAAAAAAAAAAAAGAATCCATTGAGAACTTACAAGGACCCATCCATGGTACATGGTCAGAAGCTCCTTTTTGTGTAAGAAAACCATCATCAGGATAATGCCACACAGGATGACTGAAACATTCTGTACTATCAGTGAAGTCTGGGCCACTGTACAGAGAAAGAAAGAGAGTTTTCACTGCAACACCATGTTTTCATCAGGCTGTTTTTATCCACACATCAACGATCCACTACATTAATGCATATGCCTATTTACTATATGACAAAAGGAAAAGTTTCCAAACAAAATTCTGCCTCAACTATCCCAATTTAACCCAGAAGATCACAGACCAGTGAAATATGCAAACAAAAAGTACCCACGATTTTTTTCTGTTGAAGTCATTTACAAAATATTTTCATTTTATTTATTGAAAGCTTACTGTAATAAACAGAACTATTATATAGATAAGATCCATCTCTCTGTCCTTTATTGCTTAAGCTGAAACAAGAACATGTAGGAGGCTATAAAGAAGGAGGTCTAGTATGTTCAAGGCTAGGGTTCAATCCCCTGCACTGAAAAAAAAAAAAAAAGAGGTCAAGAGAAGTTATAAAATCTATGATCCACGGTCTTCTACATGGCAGGGTTACCCTGGTAAGGTGAGATGCACAAATAGGAAAAAAAATACAAAAATTTGCCAAGAATAAAGCATCAATGAGTTTTTTTGTCGTAGTAATGCTATTGCCACTGCTGTGAAATTCTAGGCTCCACCTTCCATCCCACACACAAAAAAATGTCAACCCTCTTAGAATGAGGCATTTATGTAGATAAGGTGCTGGAGAAAGGCAGGTAAAGACATCTTGTAGTCTCTTTTCAGCAATTCACTGGGTAGATGATCCAACAAGGATATTTAAGGTCTCTTATGCCTATGTCTAGAAGGTGAGGATGGTTATATATGTCTTCCTTACTTTAAAGGATCATAATGATGCTCAAATAAAATATTTATGACAGCACTTTGAAATATCTAAGGTGTAATTATAGTTGTTCTTATTTGGAACAATAAAGCTCATCCTGGCTTGTAAGGTCATATCAAAGAGTCAAAACAAAACAACTACTCTCTGAACAGGGCCTGAAAAAAAATTCCAACATGTAAGTCATTCATTCATTCATTGCACAGGATTAAATGTCACCTGAATGAGATTCTTAGCTTCTAGGACCTGACAGACCAGAAGAAAGATATGTGAACAGGTAATTATAACCATGTGAGTCCAAAAGCAGAGGTACAAACAAAGCCTCATGAGAGCACAGAGAAAAAAAATGATGATTAAACCTAGAGACGTTAGGGGAAATTTTCTATGAAGGGTGATAAATGAGTTTATTATATAAAATAAGTGGGAGACTGTGATCCCACCACATTCGTCTTCATCCAACTCAACATCCTTTTCCAACCTATGATTGCAATGCCCAACATTTAAAAGGTTAAAGGGTTCTATGTATAATAAGATTCTATTTTGTATGCAAAATCATGTCAATAACTAGGATTTTGTTTTTAGGATACAGAATTGTTTTTCTATATGTGTTCTGGTCTACATACTCTCAAAACAGGAAAATTTTCATCTTGACCATTTTACTAGTAGCATCAAGTCCCACCATTTGATAATCCTGTTACATGTATAGGTATCTAGGAGTAGTCACCCTGAACTGAAAGAAACTAATGATACCTCAATCATTCCCTAGACATGGAGAAGGTCTAAGAAAGATATGGCCTGGACCAGGCATTATCAACTAAGCAATTCAAGAAAATTTTACCTGAATGATAATCTTCATTGCCTTTATATTCTAAATAACTAAATTGCTCAGTCACTTTTTCTCTTTCTTGCATAAAACAAAATTAGTCTAATTCCCTATAATAAAGTCAATATATCATTATTTCTTCTTTTTCCCTAAAAAATTATAATTATACGCTTCATTATCCAGACTCAGCTTTTCTCCCTTGAATCAATATTTAGTTTTCAATTCCCTTACACAAACCTTTAGATGAAACACAGTGAATCAGACGACAGACGCTAAAGCTGTCCCAGGAACATCACACTAAAAGGACTCCAGTTCACATTGTGGTTAGGAAGGAAGCCAGAATTAAGCAAATTTTAATGTTTAACATGTTTACCAGAAAGTGGCTATAGTGTTAATCATTAACATCTGAAATTTATGAACTGCCAAAAAGACAAAAAAAAAAAAAAAAAAAACCAACAAACTCTTGGGTCAACAATGCTGGCATCTCAGTTTTATGCAGGAGCCCCAGGACCCTGACTCTAGAAGTGCCGCTGCTGAACCCCCATCCCTAGGTGTGGCATGTACTCAGTGGATTAATAACAATGATTTCTCTCTTAGTTTGTTGTTTACTTTCTTACAGAAGCTCAGAGCTGATCCCATAGGCACTGGGGCTTAATTGTGTAAGGACACTCACCTTTAAGTCTGGCGTTCTTATCCACCCAGTCACCAATGATGGCTCCCAGGACCAGAACAGATCCTGCCACCACCAGCCCGTAGACTGCAGTCAAGAGGAGGCTGTTTCCATAGAGCTCCACCAGAAACACAGACACGGCAAAGTGCCACATCCGATCTCCCTTGAAGAGGAGAAAATGTTGTGATCAAATATTTTTGGTTTCTAATTCATTGTATTCAGGGAGTTGTTTTCTTATCAAAAGGTCAATTTTCTGGCTACAGCACAAGACTTCAAAGTCAATAATTATTCTATGGATTAAATATTGGTCAGATGTTAAAACTGTACACCCTGATACAATGGAAAATATTCCTGCACAGTTACTAAGTAAATTCAAAACAGCATGATACTAATAAAACATTCTTATTCCAGAAAAATGAGGTTTCCAGACCTAAGATGACACAGAAACTGTTCTCTGTGTGCATGTGATTTTCCTATTTTGATTTGAGAGGCAATAAAGTAGTTTGCTGTGGAACCAGACTAAATTACACTACAGTTCATAAACACTGACAAACATTTAATGTTAAGAAAAAGTCATGGACTGGGGTTGTGGCTCAGTGGTAGAGCACTCGCCTAGCATGTGTAAGGCCCTGGATTAGATCCTCAGCACCACATAAAAATAAATAAATAAAGGTATTGTGGTCCATCTACAACTAAAAAATATTTAAAAAAAAAAGAAAAAAAGAAAAAGTTAGTTCCCCAATTTGTAAAATGATAGGAATGGACTATGTGATCTCTGATGACTCTTTACCTCTAACATTTTAAAACAGCCCTATTTCAGAATCATAAAACTGTCAAGCAATCAGAAAGATAAAATCAGTAAGAGCAAATTCTGGCACACATAAACAAAGACGTCCAGATAAATGTGTAAATAGTCATTTTAACATTTTAATACAGATGGGGAAAAAACAATATTTTTTATACAGGTTCAGAGTACATAGGAAATTCTGGAATTTGTTGCTACAAAATGTGGCATAAGTTTAATAGAAACTTGCAAACCAGGCAGATTAACATATAAGAAATCTTTGAGGAACTTTATTATGAGAATTTAACTCCACACCTGACTTCCAGGGTTCACAGAAAGAAGGACAATATTCTATCATGACCTATTCCACAAAATCACTTCAGGATACTAAATTCCCAGGCTTAGCTCCTTACAGATTTGACCCTATGTAAAAGTAGTTACATTCCTAGACATTTCCAAAGTCTGTCAACAATCTCATGATAAATTTCATGTACTGGAAGCAAATTATTATATTTGATTATTTTAAAATAATTAAAATTATTTTAAAAATTTAATAAAGCCAAGGCAACAATCTTAAACATTCAAAACTTAGGCTGATATGGGCTAGAAATCAATTACAATAAATTTCACTGTAGACCAGTAGGTCTCAACTGGGGGTGAGTTTACTCTCCAGGGATGATCTGTGAATGTACAGAATTATTCTGGTTGTCACAACTGCAGGAAGATAGAGGGGGAATACCACTGACATCTACAATGCATAAGACAGTCCTCCACAAGAAAGAATTTTCTGATCTAAACATCAACAGAGCAGAGATAGAGAAACTGTGGTGTAAAAGATCATAAACAAATTTTGAGCCACAGCTCAAAATTAAATTAAGATTAGGACCTCGGAGGGGATGAAGTGGAAATTGTTCTAGTTACCCCAATTTCCAAAGGGTTTAGTTTTTAAGAAGCAACAGATTATACACTCACAAAAACCCATAACTGGGTAAAGTCTAAGTAAACACTGACCAAGGACCCACCCATCCCCTTCTTCCCTCAAGCCTACCAATTCATCCTGTGCTTCCATTTTCTGCCCTCCCACATGTTCTCATCATACTTTGATGATTTGTTTATATATCTACCTGCTCCAGTGGATCAGAGAATAAATTACTGTGGTCATTAAGCCACTTATTAAATACGTATGGGGCAGCTACTATGTACCCCACGCTACTGCAGTCACTGCAGCTTCAACAGTGCACAAAAATAACAGTCATGCTTTCATGTGGCTCACATTCCAATGAGCAGACACCAAAGACAAATCGAGCACAGGTCAGATGGTGGTAAATGCTCTGAGGAAAAATAACATAGAATGGGGCCGGAAGTTGGCATTTTATATGAAATAGAGAAACTTCTGTGAATCTTCTGAGAGCCTGTGAGCCAAAGAAGTGAGACTTACAGGAAGTGAGGACTGGAAAAATGGAGATACACTAGGGTATAAATGGAGACAGCGCATAATGACATGACATGATGTGATCAACTGGCTCCTCTTTTTCACTGCCTTACTCTGCTATTTTTTCATAATTACTTTTTTTAAAGCCCATACTTAATCATAAAATCCTTTTTAAAAAGTCTGCTTCTTATACTATTTTGTACTCTGAATAGCACAGAACAAAATGTATTGACCCATAGGCATACAGCAATGAAACAGGAAATAAAAAAAAATATTCAATCCCACATAAATCTAACTTGAGATAACCTTCTACTTGAAGGAACCTATGTTCAATGTGTAGGAAATCATGATTTGGCAGGGTTGGCAGGGGAATGGATAGATATGCATACACATATACATAATCATATGCATTTTGTTGTAATAACATCAGACAGTGTGCCACACAAGAGATAAAGCACAAAAAGTGAATTACTTAGCGTTAATGTTCCTCTTTTGCACTCCTTTGCAGTGAGAAGTTAAATTCACTAAACATTACATGTTTGTAGCTGATTTTTTTAATCCAACTTTCTCACAAGAACTCCCTTTGCTCAACTTACTATAAGGTTGGGACAAGCATCTGCCACCTCTCATGTGAAGCTTTTTTAAAAAATCCCAACAAGAAACTCTCCTGGAAGAACCACAGCTTTGTTAATGTTTTTGGCAAATCTGACATCTAATCTATCAACCAAAGGTCACATAAACCTTAAATTTAATCAGTATTTGGAAATGAGGCACTTTGTTTCTCTAGGAGTTAGGTCCAGATCAGAAGCTAAGAATTTCAAACATTATTTCCATTACCTTTATTGCTTTCTTAAAATACTTAATAGTTATTGAATTAAATTGGTAAACTATTAGTTCAGATCTACTGAGGTTTATTTCACTAGGTTTCTACTTAGACTCACTGGCTACTGGAATTGAAACAAACTCACACCAATTCAACTTTGTTTACATGAATTTGCAGAGTCATCCCTGCATAAGTATCTGGAAAGATAGGAGTCATCTATGAACTGCAATTTCCTAGAGGGCCAATAACCTATCTTAATAACTTCCCAAGGGCATAGGGTATAGATTTCCTCATATAATGGTTTCCATTCCTGTCCTAAAGATGATCCAAGAGAAGTTTCCAATTTAAAAATAAATTAACATTAAAATTTTACTTTCAAAATTCTTGTTCTTTATGAGGCATGTACAGAATATATCCAGGTTTATAGCTTTTAAACCATGCAAATAATTGTTAAGTTTTTTTTAAAGATTCTAATGATCAATCATTAAACACAATTCCAATAACCTTCTGAGATCATTCTTTTGGGAGGCAGGGATACGGGGAGTGATGAAGGAACCCAGGTCAACAGAAACACTGGGATTTCTTCCAAAACCACATAGGAAGTCAGAGGGAAAACTGTAAATCAACTGCTGATTTTCACTGGAGATGGGTGCTTTTTGGAACAGCTTGCAGTGCCAACATGAAATGTAACCACAGATTGTTATCTTTAATGACCAGAATTTTTGTCACTCAGGTATTTAATCTTGGGGTAATGTCATTTAAATTAATCTTAGAATTAAGATTCTATGATTAGCATAAGTCAGTTGCTCCACCATTCCACTATATTTTCATAGCACTGTATGCTGGAACTACATTTTGACAAAAGGAAAAAAACGGAATATCTTTAAAATGTGAAAGAACGAGACATCTTTCCATTCTTCATAGCAGATACTACCATTTATCAAGCCTAGTAGTGCAATATACAATATATAAATAATGTAAGTATTCCATACCTGTTAATCCTGTCTTTGGATAGCTGACAATCCACATGAAATATGACAATAATTAAATAGCATTTACTAACATCCATGGGAAATACCTTAGATGAAAACAACTTTTTAATTAAAACACAGGTCTTTGGAAGATTTATTTCCTTAGCTGCATGACCAAACAACTGTATGTGGACTTAATACAACAGGCTGGAATGAAAGTAAACAAGAAACTGTGCAACTATATTATAAGAATCACTGTACATTCTTACTTACCCAAGTAGAGAGAGAATGACCAAGGTAAAGGAGGAATTTTGCTGAGGCCAAGTAGTTTGCTAAGGATCCTGCAAATAAACACAAGAGAGAATACAAAAAGCATACTTTTGAGCTTAGGTAAAAGGCATACCTGTTTTATTCAAACATGATATTGAAACTACTTTATGAGACAAACCAGGTACATTTATCAAATCGCCTACTCACTGATGCATTTAGTTTAGTTAATATTATTCACTTAAGTTCAGCACGACCTGTTGGTCAACAACTGCCTATCTTCACAGTTAGTGAAGAAACTCTTGTTTCAACATTCTTTCACTTCATTTTTTTTTTAAAGCAAGGCAATCCAAACTGCCCAGCCTACTCCACCTCTGCCAGTGTGCAAGTCCCATTTCTCACACGTTGAATTTGCCTTCTCATTTAACCCCCATCAGTTTAGAAATCAAAGATGCTTTTACAAAGCACTTTGATTAACAACCAAAGCCACATTCTTCCAAAACCTGAGCGGGTGTTGCTGCCTCCAAAGTCCCACCTGAGTTTCCACCATATTCACTTGGTCAACACAACTCACCACAGCATCCTTCCCGGCGGTTTTGATCTCTTGCCCTGGTCATGACACCAGGTCCTCTCCTCCTGCTGGGTCTTTAACTGCTCCAGCTGCTGCTGCTGCTCTTGGTGAGGTGCTTAACTGGAGTGCGAGGAACTGAAGATAGCACCGGTAAAAACACAACAGCCTGGTCCAAAAAGACCCTAACGACTACTGTAGCAAAGAACAAAAGAAAAACTGTCCGGGGGTCTTCGTTTAACCTTCTTTCCAAACTTAGCTAACACTGTAGCTGAAGTTGGAAAGGCAAAGCCTTATGGAACCGGGTGGGAGGCTCGACAGGCCGTGAAGACCCTGAGCCAGCTCCAGCCACCACCGCCGCCGCCGCCGCCGCCGCAGGCCGGGCTCCGCACTTATACGGAGCAGGGGGCGGAGCTCCCTCGCGGCTCTCAGGGCCGCCTCCTCCCCTTCAGGGACCCCAGGGCGTCTCCGCGGCCGAGGCTGAGCTCCCGCCAACCCCGTGAGCCGCGCCGCCCTCCTCGTCCTTCCCGGGAGTCGCCCACAGGGGCGCAAGTGTCCAGCTGGCCAGAAACCACCTGCGCAGCCTGCGGGGACCTCCGCTTCGGCCGGCTCCACTCGCCAGGTTTTCCCGCTCTCTGGGAAGCCGCGAGAAGGGCATCCGGGTGGCCGTGGGAATGGGAACAGAACGCAGGTGCCTGGACACGGCGGGGGCGGCGTGGAGACGTTTTGCCCCAGACCTAGAGGCAAGTGCTGGAGAGACGGGCTCCGCGCACTAGCGACCTGGCCATCCAGGGGAAGGGAAGGCCGCCAGCAGGTCATTGCACAAAGCTAAGCTCAAGCTGGAGGGGGCTGGGAGGTTCTGTTTAATTATTTTTAAGAAAATAAATTGTAATATAGGTATCTAAATAAATATAACCCTTGTCACAGAAGTCCCTTTCCTGGCCTTCCCATTCCGGCCCCTGGCGGCAGAGAATGTTTTTCCTTCCTAGGACAGCCTAGCGAGGCTTCCCTCAAAACAGCAGAATCAAAGGGCAGGAAGGGGGCTCAAAGATCAGAGTCCAGCCTTCTTCAGAGGCGAAAGAGAGGCCTGGAAAGGTGAAGTACTGCAGAGAGTGGCGGACCTACCCCCAGCTCAGATCCGGTCTGAAGACAAATCGAGGAGGCAGCAGCCCTAACAAGCCCTTCACCATCCTCTCTTCTCCTCCTGCACTCTCTCACCCTGCCACTCTTCTCCTCTTCTCCTCCAAATATCCCAGCATCGGACAGGCAGTTACCAGGAATACCGGTTATCCCAGTTAAGTCCTTGGATGTATGTCCGGGTCTTGATAAAGTCTTTCGTTGACCTCCTGGAGGGGCAGATGAATGACTATAAAGAACACCAGGTGTAAGCCTCTGTTGACCTCGGTTTGCTCCAGCTGTGTGAAAACCCCTAGGGCATAAACCCCTTTTACCAGCCTGTTGATTACCTTACCTTTATCAGTCTTGCCAAAACCCCAGGAGTGATCTTAAACATTGAAACTCCTACCAGATTTCACACTTGGAACACCAGCAGACCGGCTGACTAACACCTACTAGTGAAGGGAACCACTCATAAATATATGTCCTGTATCAAGACGCGAAATCAGAAGCCCCAAAGGTCTAAGGGCGGGGTGCAGCTGGATTCAGTTGGGATGTGGTCTGGAGGTTAGAGATAGGGGATTTACAGTTTACTGCTATTAACAGCTTTTTCCCTCTTGGAGCCCTAGTTTCCTTTCTTTTACACACTTTCAAGTTCTCTCCCTTCACTTGCCTGCTGAAGTTGGAGAGTAAGTCATGTATCCATATGTCCTTGAGAAGTAAACCAAAGTACATCCAGATGAGGAACTTAGGAAAGAGGAAACTGGTAAAGTCGTTCTGGTTATGCCGATTTTATATTAGAAATGAATTTGTTGATAGGTCCTCAAGTAAGGCACAAAGGATAATGATACTTTTTGCACATTTGCCACAGATGCCTGCATAACAAGAACCCCCAAGTACTTTACATTAATTATTGCATGCCATAAGGAGTGTTGTACTATACCCAACTTTCAGCGGGTTAAAAAAAACTTTATTTACCATCAACATTGTCTGAGAAGTATTTGTGGAAATAGAAGCTGAGTCAGTATGAACTTCAAAATGTAATGTGGAATTTCTGTTCTCCATTATCACTAGAAAATCCCCAGAGGACAAAGCTGAGAGAATGGTGAAAAGAACATACAGGAGACTACTATGAAGCAAGTAGGAAGGCTACTTCAGGAAGAGATCTGCAACATCAAAACCAGTGAGGTGTGAATAATCAAATGTATTAGTTGGGGCTCATGAAATGAAAAAGAGTTGAAATGAAAATGGAATAAAACCTCTCAAAATACATGCAAAACGCAAAATGACAGAAATTTCCCGGACTTGGCTGGAGATTACAAAGCACTGCATAAATCACAAGACCCTACTGACTCTTCCTCCTTCTAAAGAAACATTTGACTAATTGAATATTAAGATTTCTTCCAAAAGTAATTTGTATTTTTCCTACAACATAAAATACACAACTTTCCTGTCGATGTAATCATAACTAAGAAAGCCGTGCAAGCCTGAAGTATTTTCAAAAAGAAAAAAAATGCCTGAAAGTCCATTTTACAATTTGTTTTCAGCATTTTCAAAAGTTTGTGAACAGGCTAACCAACCTTTTAAAAAGTTCAGCTAGAATCAAATGTATATTCTAGTTTAAAATTGCTAAAAAGTATTTATGGTTGGGAAATAAAAGGGGTTTCATTATTTTATTTTTAAGTTGCATTTTCACTTTCCCTACTCAACCCTCAGTTTCCTCTGCTGTATCTGATGTTCTTACCAGGACAAAGGCAGAATAAAAAATAATCACTACTCCACTGCTCTGAAGAAGAAAAAGAAAGTAATAGGGTTATCACCAAATATTACAGGAAAAGCATAGCTCCAAGACAGAGCTTCTATTGGGTGTGGAATTTTTTACCCTAACTTAGAAACTATACAGCCACATTTCTATTTAAAAGCCATTCTTGATGTTATGGGCAAAATTCTGGAACTGTTTGGCATTTCTATAACCTAAGACTGACTGGACCCTTGAGAAATTCAAATTCAGATGCCTTCTATAAGTTACAGGCATCCAATTGTAGGTTGTTCCCAGGAAAGTGTCTGTCCTCCTAGGTCTTCATGTTGTTTGAATATTGCAAATAGATTTGACCTTGAAAAGTTTTTCGTGAATACTGAGCACACTCTCCTCTCATGGGTTCTCTACACAAATTCATTCTCATTCTTTCTCTCACTCTGGTTCTCTCTCTCTCTCTCTCTCTCTCTCTCTCTCTCTCTCTCTCTCTCTCATACACACATACACACACACAAAAAATACAAGTACACATAGTAGTCTACTTCCAGTTGAAAAATTAGATGCAGAATTCAGAAGATTTCAAAGGTAATACATTCCAAATCCATAGCTACAGAAAGTTAGGTTTTGTAAGGGACTGAGTAGACAACACAATAGCTAATGACCACTTACTGGGTATAAGGTCTTCTTCTGAGGTAATAAAAATGTTCTGAAACTAGACAATTGTGCAATAGTGAATGTACTAAAGTCACTAGATTGTATACTTTAAAATGCCTTAAGTGATGGGTTTTATTTCATGTGAATTTTACCTTAATTTTAAAAAATAAATATATTCTTAAAGGAAAGTTTACCATTTCCATGTGGTTTCAGGAGATCTTAATTAGAGAATGTAGGAAAAAAGAAGACAAAAATCAAGTTTTGTCCATCACGCTTACAAGAAATTTAAACATGTAACTAAGGTTTATGTTTTCTCCCATATACTCTCATAAAATACCAAAAAATTCATTTAATAAATGTTTGGTCTCTCAACTTTTGCCATTAAATCTTTTGCTGGCTAATCTCATGTTACAATGTAAAGTCCCTTCTCTTATGTTCTGTTTTCAGGAAAAGCAGAAGACAAGTACATCAATACCCTTTTCATAGTCTCCAACTACTACTTAGCTTTGCCTTCATTGGACTGTTGAAACCAAATGGGTTTATAAGATATTCAGTAATTTTGATTGGTTTTCTTGGCACCTTTTTCAGTTGCATAGATGCTTGCAAGCCCATCACACAGGGAAGCACGCAGGTCTCAGATCTCTTAGAGATTCAAGCAAAGAATTCCTGTTATATGGTCTCATATTTCAATCTTCTGTCTTAGACACTCCACAACTGAATGACTGTTTCTAAGTAGTATCTTGAGGCTGATTCCAACTAAGTTGGCCATATGCTTATATTCAGGAAGTTTACATTCTGGGCTACCAGCAAAAGTTTCAGAGTTCCTTAATGTTTCATTTAGGGTACGATCCACATGTCCAATGAAAGAGTCCCTGTTTTCCAACTCTCTCTTGACCTCCTATTAGTGGTGTGGTCATTATACCTGTTCTTCTGTTTTGCAGTTTCTTTCTTTTTATTTCAGTGTTTTAGTTCCATACTGCTGATTTTTTTTCTTTACCACATTTTATAAAATGCCTAATTATCATAGCCTGTCAACCATGAGTGCAAGATAATAAAAGATAATGGAGTTTCATAGCCATGAAATCCTTAGACCATATTCCTAGTCTTGGATCTTTGAATTTGTGCTCACACAAACCAATAATGTAATAAGACAGAGTCTTCTTCTCTGATGTAATTAAAAATATTGACTAAATTGATTATTTCCACATTTTAAAAAGGTTAAAGGTACAATGAGAAAGGCTTCTCCCAATAATTTTCCAGAAATATTTCATCCTAGTCTTATCTGCATCGAGCCACATAGGTAACAAAAGACAACATATATTTGGAGCACCACACGAGTGGCAGATATGAAATGAAGTATTTATCAGATATTATCTCATTTCATCTTCACAACACCCCTATGAAGTAATACTATTATTATCTCCACTTACTCAAGGTCACTCAGCTAGAGAGAGGTAGTACTAGGATTCAAATCTAGAAATGTCTGAATGCAAACCCTTGCTCTTTCTGCTTGTTTTTCTGCCTTTCACAATCTAATAAGCTTGGGACAATACAGGTGACCAGTAAGCATAATTAAATCTTTTTCTCCCTATTGGCTAAAAATTACAGAGACTTGGACACCAATAGGGTCTTGGAAGTAATTTATCCTTGATAATGGAGGGTAATAAAAATCCAGCTGGTAGGATGGGGCACCACATAATACTAGGAGCTGTTGGAAAATTTCATTGAATATCCAGTCCCCTTTTATAACTCTATATACGATAGATAAAACAACATTAAATAATTGGTAAAAGGCTGAGTTTTATATTTTTGGATATGACTAATTCAAAATTAAAGATTTGGGGGATTTTCCATTTTTATTTTTAAAGTATTACCATTGAATTTTGTAATAAGTATTAAAAGATGTGGGAGTTGAGGTTTAATAAAAAAATAGCAAAGAAGAATTTCTTGGCACTGTAGAAGGAATTAGATAGAATTTTTTAAAGGGACATGACCACATTAAGGAGGTTTTCTAAAAAAAACTATTTATAAAGCAGTATTGTATACAGATTATGATTAGGTAGAGGAGATGGGGTTTATGGTATCAGAAGCAATATAGTTTTAAGAATAATTTTTCATTTTTAGAAAATGTACTGAGAGGAGTAATAATTAGCATTTTTATATCTGTTTTTAAACATTAAAAGAAATTTGTAGTTGTAGATGTATAGAATGCCTTTATTTTATTTGCTTATTTGTATGTAATGCTGAGGATCAAACCCAGTGCCTTACACATGCTAGGCAAGAGCTCTGCCACTGAGCCATAGCCCTAGCCCTGCACAGGTCTTTTAAGTTTTCAATGTGCTTTCATGTTTTCTCTCTGAATCCTCTAACAAATATACAATGTCTTTGATTCTGGAAAGTATACATAAACTCAGCACCAGAGTTCCATTGCCTGAGCATGCACATACATATATGTCTTTGCTTGTGTGTGTATGTGTTGCTCTGGAGGTGGAGAAGGTTTTTGTGACAGAGAATAATGATAAGGAAAGGGCATTATGGTTTTGGAAACAGAAAAATAAACTTAAGAAACTAAAAACTAAAGTGAACAAAAGAGGAGGGTTTGGAATGAGAATGATCAGATTGGTGCAGCCAAGGTTCAAATTAGAATCAAGACACATAGTTCTATCTTTGCTAATCAGCAGCTTTTTATATCTTTAGAAAATAGTTTACCTCTATCTAAGGTCTGTTTCCTCATATGTAAACAAAGGCATTAGTTGAACTCTTTGAGATCAAATTCATTGAAATTTGTTGTGATTAAATAACAGTAATGATGATAATTTTAATTTTAAAATATTTTTCTGCATAAGGAACATATATTACTTTTATAATGAGCATGTTACTTACATTTCCATAAATAAAAAGATTAATTTGAACCCTCTGAGGTTTTCATTCCCTCAATATCCAGAGGTTTTTTTTTTATCAATTTATGCCATTTCAACCTTTGAAAAGGCCTCACGGCAAATTTTCTTAAAGGACAGTGATCCATCAAATACTAAATTAAACTTTATAAAATTCTGAGATGGAATAATAGTTTTGAAAGAAATCTCAGTATATCTTCTTTTCACAAAAAGGTATTATTTCATTAAAGAGGAAAATGGGCGATGGTTTTGTATCTTTCACTGTGTACTTGAATTCTATTATTATACCTCTAGGAGATTGTGAGATATTAATTAAGAAATGTATAAACTTTGTTTATTTTCAGAGTACTTCATTTATCTACTGGATGCACATACTCATTACTTGAAAAAAATAATATCACCACGTAAGATATCTTGGTTTGATAATTATTTGGGTGCTTCTGCATCTTGCTTTTGAATTGTTTAGTCTGTTATCCTAAATGTAACAATAAATATTTGAAGTTTTGCCTCCTGGAAAACATCACATTTATATGTGAAAATTATATCTATAGAGTTGCCCAAAATAAATGATATTTTCTGCTAGAATTGATTGGAAAAATATTTTTGAGTCTGCTAATCTCAAAAAATGCATCCATGAACTTTCAGATTTTATTTGATTTTGGAAGGTCAGCCTAGGTTAGCTTCAACTACTTCTTCAAGGATTATTTTTTTAGGTTTACCTGATCTCCCATCAACTCTGACTTTGAGTTTCCCATTTTCCATCTACACCTTTATCTTCCAATAGACAGTAATGGCCTATTACTGGGCTGTGGCATGCTTAGCATCTCATTCCTTGTGGTCATGAGGTGTGCTTTTTGTATAATCTATTTTGTATTCTCTTCAGCATTAAGATAGATTCATCCTTTAAAAAAACATAATGCAATCCTTTTAAGTCACATTAGAAAACATTAATGTTTTGACTAATTTAAATTGCAAATGAAAAACATCTAGACTATAATTTTCAGTGTAAGAGGATATAGGGGATCATTAAATGAGTTTAGTTGTTTCTTCTTAGTACCAATTACTTTAGACTTGTCTAATTTGTTTTTTCTTCTTATGTGGGCAATCCCTTGCCTATAAAGAGAGATGTAGAATGATGATTAATTGTGTGTCAGCCCTTCACAAGGAGAATCATCTAAGCTAAAATTGAACAATAAGGGTAAAATGGATTAGGAAAAACAATTAGGTAAAATGGATCACGTTTGTGTCAGGAATCCTTTTGTACTACTTTTTAAAAAATTGTTTCATTTTACAAGTAGTTGACCAGCTTAAACAAGACTGTAATAATAGCAAATTAAATGTATTCATCTACCTATTATAAGCTTATACTTAACTAGTAATTGGATATTTAGGAAATAATTTCTCACTAAAACATCATAAACTGCATTAAATTGGTTTCTATCTTTGATGTAGCTATTTGGCTCCAGGGAAAATCTAGCAATTTTCTCTTTTTAAACTGTTCATAATTTTTTCAAGTATGAGTATATGGTAGTTCTTCTGATTTCTCTTGTTCATGTATTTCAATCAATATCTTTTGCCTCAAAAATGTTTTGCAAACCATAGCAGTATATAAAAATACTGTGGTGTAAATATTCCCCAAATGCCTTAACCCTACCTTTTGGTCAAGTTAACTAGCTAGTATCTTCATACAGAAGATCAAAATAACTAATACTTTCAGTTCTCTGCCAAACATAGTTTGGTGACCCAACTAAATGTAAAATTTCAGTCATAGATAGAAACTGCCAGTTCAACACACAAAGAAGTGGGTAATCATTCCATAAACCATTTGTGTTTATAAAATCACTAGTCAAAACATCTCTCCAGAATCAAAGCCTCTGAGACAGGAATCCCCTTTGCTAGCAAAGCAATAAACCTTCGTTTCCCCTTTTCTCAAAAAAAAAAAAATCTCTCCAGTAAATTTCCTATATAAGTAATGTCCAGGTTAACTCTGAATGTCAATATTGTTCAAACTGTATAACCCTGTAACCCTCTCAGGGGGAAAAAAAAACACTTTCCCACTGGAATCTAGTAGTTTTGAAATTGAAGAGGCAGGGAGAAGATTTGTTATTAGTAGCAATAAGTGTTGCCTAGTTTTAAGACACATTGTTTTAGGTGATGAGAATCAAATATCAAAAACACTAAAATTGCCTGTGTTATAATTATGAGTGGGTTTGTACATTTTTTAGAGTTTTGCCAAGCATAAGTCATCATCATCAGATAATTTATTTAACCACTCTAGTAAATATTAAACATTTATTCAATATAAAAGTGAAGTTTACAGGAAGTAAGATTTTTCTGGTAACATTGGAACAATTCCACAGAATGCAGGATGGGTGTCAACCTCACTGTTTCCTATTTAATAGATTATATAAAATCTGAAGATTTCAAATTTGGGTTTTTTTTCCTTTTATCTATTCTTCCCCCTTTTTTTTAGAACTTGTTTTCTACACTTTAGTCAGCTGATCATCAA